TCAACTCTGCTCACACCCATTTCATCCCCATTTCGTGCTACTTGCTAACAGTAAACGTTATTCAATTCTGTCAGAGCTAACAGGAAAACGATAGTACAACACCCAGCAGATTCAAACAGCAGGAAGACAATTTTGCCAAAAAACAAGTAAGTAAATAAATTACCTTTTAAAGTACTGATAATTAACATCAATAAAAGTTTTATTATTGATATGTCCATGCACTGAGCAGCAGACAGCAAAAGACCAGATGACTCTATTGTGGTTTATAGCCTGATCACAGAACAGGAAACCACTCAGCTTTACTCTTCATTCAAAAGCTTCTGCTAACCTAAATTATTTTGTAATTCTAAGAGTGGGACAGTCAAAACTCAAAGATTTGTGTTGGTATTTCACAAACTTTGGGCAAGTCCAAGGGTGGATACTTTGATACTAGGTAAAATAAGTGTGCATTAATGCAGTCGTAATGTGATCCCTGGACACATCTTCTTTGTAAAATATTTCTTGTTGTTTCTGAATACTAAGTACTACTAACTGCAATGATCCATAAATTTTGCTGGACAGGCTGATACAGAGCTGGTCCAGTGGGTAAAGAGGGTGATGGCGAGAGAACCATCATCCAGGACACCACAGTAAGGTCAAGATCCATTTATGTGTTTCTTCCATACTCAGTATAATCCTTATGGCAAAGTAATACCAGAATGAAAGAATACCATATCAGGACTGGAGGAAATTGTTATACTTTGCTGGCTGGCAGAATGGGAAGGGAGCCATGTGCAGTAGCACAGCTGCATGCTAAAAAAGAGAGATTTAGCTCCTATCTCCCTAAGCAAATGAATCCCCTGAACAATATAGTGACTATGCTAAAGCAACAAAAAGGCTGTTCCAATATTTATGTCTAAAATGAATGTTTGCAAAACGAGTAGAGCTGTCTGTAACTGCGCCAAACGTGGAGCGGTAAGTGAACAAAAATATAAGATTTGATTCAAGATTGTTGAATTTCCAAATCTGCCAAATAATTTTTCAAATTTAATTATTATCCTTGCAGCTTTCATTCATTTTGTTAAGCTAGACTCTGAGAACTTTCATAGAACAATGGCAATTTCTAATATTTAAATGGATTGTTTCTTTCTTTTTTTATGTCTTTAGATCTTGCCCAAATATATGTGCAGCAATGAATATGGATATACATCCAAAAGGTAAAATTATTCCAGTACTGAAAAAGGAAGTATTATAGCATGACTTTTTACTATTCTTACTACTCAGTGATAGTTTGTAACATGCAAGGCATGAAACATCAGAACATTGTAAGGTCATAAAAGTTAAAATTAATTGTAAGAATAAAGGAAAAGAAATGGATACCCACTAACGAAGAAAGCAAAAAGGTGTTTACTTCCAGAATGCCCCAAAAAAATGCTGGCTTCATGATGTTGCAAAATGCCACCAAGAAGTCATCCTCTTGCTGGAGACTGAAAACATTATGTTGGCTGAGGACTTCTAGAAAGCAACTGAGGGAATTTTAATTTTTTCTCTGCCACCGCTCATGAAGGGCTCTCCTCTTTTTGCTGTTTGCTGTTCCAAACCAATAGAACAAAGACACAGGATCTCTAAGTGTGATTCCATGACAGATTATGGCCAGTAGTAAGCATGTGTTTAAATCACAATGATTTCAAAAGTAAAACACTGCTCCTACTTAAATCAGTGAAAAACGATACTGTATTTCACAACTGTAGCTGAGCTAAGAGATATTTAATGCAAAGCATATAAAATTATCTAAATAAATAGGGGCACAACTAGCCAGATAAAATTTGGTATACGATATATTTATTGTGTTATGTGAAGTTTGCTTAAATGCATTTGATATCCATATAATAGAGAAGATTTAGATGTAGGGCTGGAAAAAGCAGTTCTGGAAAAATAAAACCCAGTAGTCTATATCGTCTTATTGCAAATCTTTTATTCTCTGTGGATAGCTGGCCATATCACAAAAGCTTACCATAACTGGCATTTATTCACATCTTTCACAGTCTCTGAAGTGAAACCTGCCTAGCCTTTTGCTTTGTCCTGGAATTAAACCTATGCAATTCAGGAAGCTTCTACTTATCTTACTTAACGCCTCTAGAGGCTGGAGGAAAATGCCCATATATTTAACAGGACAAGGTTTTACACAGTACTTTTGGACCAGACAGAAAAAAGTGACTCTGAAAACTCCTGTGCAGGTTCTTCCTTGCAGCATTTCCAGCCCCATTTTTTTCTGCTGAAGTGGTTAGGAGACACTCTGTCAGGATCACAAGGTTCATTAAAATATAACCCACAATATTTTATTGCATTCTGTCACTGGCTGAAACACCACAAACAGTGACTAAAAAGCACTGTGCATTCACAGACTCACAGAAGTCAGTGAGAACAGATTTACCTTCTGCTTTCTCATTTAAAGAAGGGCTATGTTTCTAACATTACGTTTTCATGTACAAATTGCTAGCCTGTCACCCTTTTGAACAGACTTTTTTTAGGTCACTATGAAAAGTGGGCAAGGTTGCCACAAAATGCACACTATTTTAGTCCTTTGCAGATTAAAGAGAAATTAATTTCTTCCCTTTTGTCCTTTGACATCAGGCATTCTCTGTGAACTGACAGAAACACCCACACATATGCCATAGAAATATAACATGTAACTATTGCTAAAACTGATATACTCCATTTATTAATTTCACAGAGGATGTAGCAAAGCAACGAAAAATTTTCAGACTGAATAAAATATGATCAGTCCCTATAGCTTGAGGAGATTCTGACTCCTGACAGCTCTAAATCTTTAGTTTGCAGGGAAAAAATATTGGTGCCAGAAGGTCTAGCTGATTGCAACTACCTGGCACAAAGATTCTGTCCTCTTTCATCTCTGTACAACAGCCATTGCACCAAAGGACAGGAAATTTGAAGATGTCCCTGTTCATTGCAGGGGGGTTGGACTAGATGATCTTTAAAGGTCCCTTCCAACACAAACTATTCTATGATTCTATGATAAATTGGATGTTCCAGAGCAATATATATAGTAAACAGCAGAAATAATTCTCCCCAAGAAATGAGCCTTTGCAACAGTCTCCCACCACCCAACCAGCACACAGCACTTCTCATTCTGAAAGCCCAATATGTGTAGTGTAGCTGACAGAGTGAAATATTCATCTTCACTACCAAAATGTCATCCTTAAATAACAGGAGAAGTGGTTTCTAGCTGATTTGCACTCCTCAGCTAGCACAGACCAAATATTTGGGCATTCACCTTATGTAAAGGGAATTCCCGCAGGAAAGCAGCGGCGCTGCCTCTCCCTTCACTCGTGCTGTGCAAAGGAGGCGTTAGAAGAAAAGGAGAAGGAGGGCTGGAGTTCCTCCAAACCCTGGTGATTCCTGCATAACAGAATGGATTATAAGCTAACCTGGACATCAAATTGTAAACTGATGCTGGATAGCAATAATCACCCCAAAGGCTTGTGTCAAAATGTCCCCTTTTAGCATGAAATGCATGGCTAATAGCTTCGATGTTTACCACTGTTACTAATTTCTTATTGTTGAGGATAGAATAACCATTTTCTATTAACAGAAGTAAAAAAGCTACAACTTAAGACACTGACTGCCTTTTTTCATTATTATGTTGGTACCACCCAGTTTTCCTCATCTGCATCAGTTTTCCTCAGTAATGTCGTTGCTTTAAGTGAGCTTACTTCTAATTTGCACCAGCATAACTAAAGAAAAAATCAGACAACTAGTTTGCATGGCTAGCTCTCCCTCCCCTCCGCCTGTGACTGACCCTCTGAGCAGAGATAAAGGTACTACGTATATTGAATAAATGAACATTCAATGCCATCTGCTGGGGTATATAAAACTCTGCAATACCAGGCACATGCAGTATTCAGAACTTAAAACAATAGTGACAAATGTAAAGAGGCTGTATAGGTAAAGACTGGTTTCTTTCAAAACACAGCTGGAAGGGAAGGTTGTGGCATGTTGCCCATCCTTCACATACTGCAATACAGGGCACAACACCTGGACAAGAATTGGGTCTGGTTTTAACTCTCTCCTTGGCATAAAAGGGTTTCAGTCCACAAATGTCCCTTCTTCCTAAGCATTAGAGCATGCTGTAATGATATGTTATAGATTAGGCTTATAGAAGGACTTTCATGCTCTGCTTTTGAAATCAGGCTATAATATAGCCACAGACACAAGATTTGTGAGGCTGCAGGCAGCCTAAGCAAAGATTGCTTCAACTTCCCAGAATAAAAGTATGTACTGGGCAAGGACATACCACAGCTGTTTTGCACTAAACAGTCACTGGATTAAATGTATAAATCAGGTTAAGGGAAGAATTTGGGAGTCTATTGTCAAGTGAATTCACACTCCTGTTCACCAGCTCTTTGGCCCTGTAAGGTGTGCTCTCCTGCCTATACCATGAGACAACTTCCATGGGCAGACAGGCACTAATTAGAATAGTTTATAGCCTGGGAGCTGGAGTGTTCTCGGTTTTGGGAAATGTGAATTTGGAGCTTCTCAAACTGAAACCAGAAGTCAAATTTCCCAGGCAAGTGCTGTGCTACCACATAAAAGACTTCAGCACAACTCATTTTCCAGTTCAGTTTTGAAAGCAGAAGGTCAGATTTTCTTCTGGCTCTAAAGGAACAAGATATGTTTCTATTCAGAAGAGGGATTTCCAGACCAGGATCCCAAAGCTCACAAGGGTGAGCCCTTACAGTTCTGCACAAGCAGCAAAACTCAGAAGAGAGAGGAGTACAAGCACATCCTTCTCTGGGTCTTCTCTGTGGGAGAGCTTGGACACGCTAGTGGTTGTGAATCCCATTTCCACACAGCTAATTCCTCATGCATTGTGTAGGTCAACAAACCCACGTATGGATTTGCTTCATCCACCTTTGTTTGAGTATTTGTAAAATACTGTGCAGTTGGCAGATTTTTTTTCTGTGATGCAAGTTATTAGTTATTGTATCATTTTCTACAGAATGACACCTGCTGACATTTTTTTCTCCATTCTATACAGAAAACAGAAGAACTATTCCTGCTAACACCTATCATTTTGTAAGTATCACACTGTTCTTCCTAAAATTTTACTTTTCTTTCAGTTCTTGATGTATGTTAATATTATCTTGGCTATAATGCTGGTAACAGAAAATGTAAACCTCACTGTTTGTTAATGAAAAATAAAGCATGAGAACTGTGAAGTGTATATGAGAACTTTTACTTTTGGGAGCTAGATTAGAGTAGTGATTCACTCAGTAGTCAATTCTGCATTTATGGTCTGAATCTAAAGTACACCTTTATCATAAGATCACGTGAAAATAACAGGAGTCAAGCTGAACAAGAAGGTAAGTCATAAACTTCAACATTTAATATGTAACCAATGCAAATGAAAGCTGAAAAAGCTAACAGTACATATTACAATGTCTTCCCATTTGTATCTGAAAGCTGGTTTTGAGTTTCAGCTCAGGTGTATAAGAAGAAACTGAAAATACAAGTCAGAAGAAGCTGAAAAGAAAGCACAGCTCTGTTGCTTAATAAGCAAGTTGAACAAGTAAAGGATGACTAAAGAACGTTGCTGCAATCAATACTTGGCTGCTTTAGGTTTCATAGAAAGGTTAATTACAATCAGATGCTATATGGGATTAATACCAACTAGAAGGCAGTAATATCGCAGAGCGGAACAAGAACAGCCAGAATATTTATTTATGCTAAAGCACTTAGAGAAGTATTTTAAGTAATTTCTGAGACATTACTTGATTAACTTTGGGAATTCTCCAAGGAGTCCTGAGTTCCTAAAGCAATGGAAAAAAAAAGAGTGGTAACCTCAATTTCTTACAAGAAAGAAAGCAAATCCTGAGGGTACATTGGCTACTTGGAGAGACAATTAAACAAAGTTAGTCTTGAAAGCATCTTTTGGAAATAATAAGTCTGATTATGTAAAAAATTGCTAATGTGAACATTATGAACATCTCATCAACTCCTCAAAACAAAGTAATTTCCTTCTCATCAGAAATACAGTCATAATGGGGAGAAAGAAAACACTGGATGTGATATATCTTGATTTCTGTTAGGCCTTCAATGTTTCCCAGAAGACAGTCTCACAAGCAGAAACGTGGAAACCTGGTCTAGGTTAAAATGTATGAAGTGTTTGCAGAATTGATTGAAAAAGTAGCCACCCTCAGCCTAGTTGACAGCAGTCTGCTACTGAACTGGCAAGAGTTATGCAGCAGAAGAGCATACAAATCCAGGTATACTGCAAGGGTCTGTCTAGGTTGTGGTGATATATTTTTATGTACTGTTACAAAAAGGCAAACCTCACTCTGAAATGTACTGTCAAGAACACTTCTTGGAGGTCTGCTTGATGTTGTAATAAAGATGTGTACAACCTGGAGAGTCCACAGGAAAGTAATCCGGGAGACATGAGGCTCAAAATTTTTTAAGTTGGTTGACAACTCAGGAAAGCTTTAAATAATTGTACTTGCTCAGTAAGAAGAGTAAACGGAAATATAATTACAGCATTAAGCATAATAAAGTTTGAAATAAAGTAAACAGCAATCAATTTTTTTAGTGTCCTCGGAGAGTAAATCAAATTGGTTTCATTTGTAGCACTCAGAGAAAAAGCATGAACTGAAAGGACAGTTAACTAGTGGGAAGAAGACACCTCAGAAAGCTATTGATTCCCCATTCCTAGTGAGTTCAAGAAGGGATTAAAACAAACATCAGAGAAGATCCAAGTGCATGGATTAATCTATCCCGTCTCTGGTAGCAAAATATGACTTACAAAGACACTGTGTACTGTCAGTTGAGTTCACTCAGCAGGAATTTCACCTCTGCGCTGTTCGTGAATGTCTCCTCCTGAAGGAAGCCAGCAGTAATATTTCAATGTGTAAACAGTATGTACAAAGGGTGGAGCAGGACTCCAGAAAATAATCTTGAACAAACCTAGTACGAGTATATACACATATCCAGAGACATCCTGAGTCACCCTCATCATCACATTTCTGTGGACTCCACTGTTCAATACATACTTGCTATCATGTTCACTTGGACTGCACATTTACTAGCACGAATTCCTAAAAACGGCGCATGTTTTTATTCTAAAGCATGACATTTGTGATGAGCTATTTAATATATTCTTGCAAGTAACATATGTAAACAGTCAGTACAATACAAATACCACATGGATAATATTATAAAGAAAGGCACAGTTTCAAACGTCTGCAACGATCATAAAATTAAACACACTCATTATATTTTCAAGAGTGGTGACAGGCCAAATTCAGAGAAAGACCTAAACTGTCTCCCAAATGGTCATCTTATGAATCTAAATAAAAAATTCAGATCGTCAAAAGCCTTGTTCAACTACTTTCCAACCCTTCAATTTCCATCAGAAAAATTTCCTCTGCAACAAAATGTCTGGTACTGATAATCAAATATTTCCAAATCTGAAATTAATCTTGAACTGAAATTTATTTGTATTATCTGTGTATCTCTTCTATCCAGAACAAAGATCTGACAATGAAGGGCAAGAGTGACTCACAGTCTTCCTCCAAGGTACCTGAGGAGGAAGAAGGTGACTATGAGACTGTAAGTTCTTCCACTCTGGAGGCCATCCATGCTTTGAGAATCCTTCCTGCCAAACCTCTACAAGAATCTGAATATGCAGGTAACTTTTGCTGTCTACAGAAAGTAAGCCAAACCGAGATAAATAGGAAGAGTACAGGTTTTCAGTACAGGTATTTTTTAAAATTAAGTGGTTCAACTGAAAAATAAAACACTGGTTGGCAGGAACAAGAGAAGAGCTTTGCCTGCATCTTCATATTCAACAGTTACCCTTATTTCCATTAGATTATATTAAATTAATAATTACATGCTGCTTTTGTAATTTTAATATTACCTTCATGGGAGAAATTCTATGATCCCAATCCAGCTGGTATGTGCAAAAAATTGGTTGGTCAAACCCACAAACGTTTCAGAAAAGCCCACTGCTATTAACCCTAAAAATGGAAAACATATTAAACAACACATGAAACTTTCCTCCAGATGATAATCTGCAGATGAAGAAATGTAGTATTCTTTTCAAAGACGTTCTGTTGCTTTCAATAGCAGTAATAAGCAATTACTTTGAGTATATTTCTCAGACTTTCTTAGCCTGATAGATGTATTATTCAAGTTTTGATTTACTGAAGTCATACCAAGTCATATTTAATGCCTAAACATACATAGCCAATTAATATCCCGTTTACAGAAGTGAAATATCATCCTATCTATCTATTGCTCAAAGCCATTACAAACACTCTGTGGAGATTTTAAATCACTAAAAAACTTGGTGGAAATCCTAAATGAGGAAGAATGGAAACCAGAAATAAAAAAAAGAAAATATGAAAACACAGGATCAATATATGCACAAAAGCTTGCTCCAGTTCACATCAAAGTCAACACAGATTTTTCTACTTATTTTTTGCAGGAGTTAGTTTGATGTATAAACAAATAAATGGCTTTTAATGTGAATAGATTTATTAGTGTGTGAACAGATCACAATCAGTCTGAATATCCAGATACTCTATGTTATGTTCCAAAGACTCATTTGTGCATTTTATTTGGAAATCTTGGTTAGTAGTAAAGACTTTCAGTCAGCAGTCAGCATCTTTTGTTGTTTATGTCAGACTGTCCTGAAATACCAAAAAGAGACCATTTTTGTTTTGTGATTTCAGAGGAAACACATTAAACGAAAAGCTGCTTTTTGCCTGCATGTCATGCTCAGTAACTACAATGTGGCAGGATACAAGAGCAAGGAAAGGTCTGAAAATCTATTTCAAAAAGGCAAAACTCAATGCTAACATCTCATTTTGTCATCTTTCCTAGGCAAATAACAACGCCCTTGAGATACAAAATTAATGACTCAAAAACACATGCTGGTGTACCACCTTTGCATTTCTTTTAGATGACCATGGCTGAAGTATCTATTAAAATCTAAAGTAAAAAATAAAAAGCTCTCTAGAGAGTAAACCCCTCCCAATACCCCTTGCAAAACCAGAACAGCACAACAGCATTGCCAAGTTCAAAGGTTCAGATGAAAAACAAATTCGATAATCTATTCACAGTTTAGGTCAAATGTCTGCCTTAAATGTGTACCAGCTTACAAAGGTGTTGGGTTTTTTAACCACATTGAGGACGTTAACCATAAAGCTATTATCAGTCACACTTATGTCCTCAATACAGCTACTAAAATAACGGTTAACTTCTGACAAGGAAAAAATTAAAAAGCTATAAAAATGTCAAGATCTGACCTGAAAAATGTCTTGATCATTAAAACATCTTATTCTTAAAATGTAGTATTACCAAACTACTCAGGCTTGGTTTTTCTTCCTCTTTTACAGATAAACGTTGTTTAAGGCCTTTAGCTACCACTTCCCCAATGCACAGCCAGCACACATCTCAGCCCCCTCAATACTCGGATGTAAGTAAAAATCTTAAACACTATTCACAAACACACTTCCCCTTTTCTGTAATATCATTTACAGTTAAGCGCAGTCTATTTAAAGTCTTAACCACATAACATTCAATTGCACAATGTTGCACAAGTTCCCATGAGCCGTTTCTGCTTCACTCTGCACCAACATCCTCGCCACTGGCTTTCACTTGTTGACTGCTGGGGACCTACCAAGTATTAGAGGCATCCCAGTCAGGAGCAGAGCCATTTCTACTGGCCATAGTTTCAAGGATGATGACTAACATCACATCTTTATTTTGTTTTACTAACAGAAACACGCATCTGTTCTGGAGGGGAGGAGTGTGCCAAGTATTAGAGGTATAATAATAAAAAAAAATCTACCCATTTCTGCAAACAGAAATAGAAATTGTTGCTTCCATATTTAGCTTTTGTACATAAGCAGAGATTGCAGATGATAGAAGAGGTATGGTTTTCAGAACAGCAGCTCCTTTCCAAAATAATCATACTGCAAATTTTGTAATACTGTTTCAACTATCTAACATGAAAGTAATTATTTACAAAAGGGGATATATTTTATCTCATGAGCTCCCTGTTCCTCAAGGGGGAGGAAAAAAAAGCCATTCAATTTAAAAATCAGGTTTTCCTTTCCCCCAATTATAAGGACATAAAAGAGGCACGGGGAGGGAACTTGTGTCTCCTGAACTGTTCCACCAAATGGCTGAGAGACCCCTGCTATGCTTTACTTCTCATGATCTGATGCTTTTTGGCTCCCTACCCTTCTCAGGCATTTTGTATGAATATATTGTAAAGCATAAACTAATAACTATTTTTAAATAGTAGGATCAACTTCAGCAATTCCTATTAACAATACACATCCTAGGGTAACAATTGACAAAAAATATCTGACAATGTTTTCCTACTATGAATATGCTAATTATGTAGTATATCACCTAGCATATATTTTTTCTCCACTGATTTACCTTTAACTGTAAATTTGCTTCAAAAACCTATAATTTTGAGTCACAAATATACCTTTAATTTTTGTTCATTCTGTTTTGTTTCTTGTGGTGAGATTGGAGAGACTGCTATCTTATTCTTCAAGAATCTAATGAGGTGTCCAACTATTAAATCCTATAATTGATGGTTTTACTCTATCATAAGATTATTTTTAAAGTAGGTTTCTATATAATTTTTCTATATTTGATATACTTTAGATGTAGTAATATCTCAGAAGGACTAAATATCTGATGAACCTTGAAAAGGAATGGTATTTTTTCTCTTACAATTTTCAACTCTGAACCATATGCTAAATATGGTCAAAAAGAATGCAACTGCCAAGACAGAAAAATGTGATCCTTTCTATGTTTGATGTAATGGCTGATTTTCAGAGAATAAGTATTATGTTTGGTCAGCAAGAAAAATAACAAAAAATTCTATGCAAAACAGAATTTTATTTTTTTTTCCTTTTAGTTTGTAATGTAATACAAAACATAGAGTTAATAGTTTCTAGAGATTATGAGAAAGCACTATAAAGTTTGAAAAATTAAAGGTTAGATCGACTCTTGTGAGCAAATCCTGATGTAGCTTGTAAAAAAGCTGAATTAAGAGAAGTTCGAGTAAGTTGGCTTCAAAATCTGCAGAAATTTAGGCAAGGTCACACTGAGAGTTTGCCAGTTTAGATAAAGCTTCAAATCAAGGATTCAGTAGGTTGGATTTACATGTTTGTCTACCTCTATGAGATGTGTGCTGACATTAAGAAAGATGAACCAAAGGTAGTGCAGGCAGGTAAATTAAACTCTGCAGTTTGAGAATGCAATTTATACATATTTTTAGTACATCCTGAGCTAATAGTGCTTATAGGGAACTCTCTTATTTTTATATAATAACTACACTGTTATTAAATATATCTTAATATTTATTCCCATGCCCAGTGCTGCTAAGTGGCTTTGCCACAAGATGGCATGAACAGCAAGGAAGAATTTTTGTCAACATTTATTTTCTAGAGTTGTTAAATCTTGAAGGTATCTTTATTACATTCAGAGCAATTTATTATCGTTTACTTGAAGGAGAACTTAACATACATTGCATTTCTTTTTGCATTAGTTAGGATTTCAGTATGTAGAATTTATGAAAATATTTTCAAAATCAAAATCTACTGCAAATAGAGTCAGATAGGGGTTTTTTATTAGTAAGATGTCCTGGGTTCATTTAAATAATCAGTCATATTTTGGTAAATTTGAAAACAAACTTTCAAGATTTTTATAAATTTCTATGCAAAAATCAAAACAGACACAAAATGCACCCCAAACAACTAGATAAGCATATATATAAAGTCTCTGAATAATATTTAAATTTATAATACTTGAATAAATATCACCCTCATATGTTTCATTCTGAAAGCCAGAGGTTAAAACAAAGTTCACTCTGTTTTATCAAGTATCATGACAATTTTTAAATTTCTTTTATTCTATAATTTAAGATGAAAAAGTCAAAAATACTTGTTTTTTTCCTGCCAATTCTTAATTATGTCTCTTGTTGCGGTTTAAACTCGGCCAACAGCCAACCACCACACAGACGTTCACTCATTCTCCCCGCCCACCCCAAGGGATGGGCAAGAGAATTGGAGGGGTAAAGGTAAGGAGGTTCATGGGTTGAGATTTAAAAAGTTTAATAATTGAAATTAAAATAATAATAATAATAATAGAATATACAAACAAGCGATACACAGTGCAATTTCTCACCACCTGCTGACTGATGCCCAGCCCATTCCTGGATAGCAAACCTAGAGGAGAGAAAATCCTGAAACTGCAATCCTGGAAGAGAGAGACAGCTTCCTGACCAACCTTATTCTATATATCGAGCATGACGTTACATGATATGGAATGTTCCATTGGCCAATCCGGGTCCATTGCTCTGGCCGTGCTCCCTCCCAGCTGCCTGTACACCTGTGCACAGGCAGGACACGGAGTTGGAGAGACCTTGATCTCTCAGCAACAACTGAAAACATCAATATATTATTAAAATTCTTCTCATAATAAATCCTATACTGAATCCAAACCACAGCACTATTCTAGCTACTAGAACGAAAAGTAGCTCTACCCCAGCCAAAACCAGGAGAGTCTCTTATGAAATTAATGTTTGTGAACGATATTAAAAAGATTTATTGCCTACAGCACAGCAAGATTCTCAACACCTCTATGACGACCATAATTATCTAAGTACACTTTATTTTGTGTTTTCTATGGAGAGAAGCACAAATAGTTGAGAATAAGTTGCACCTGAATCCATCTTTTTAAAAGGCGAAATAAAGTACAGATCAAACAAAATCCATTCCCCTTCTAATAAGACTCATTCAGAGCCCATTGGCCTCATGTGCAGATCAGCTAACAGAAAATATGCACTTCAGTGACCTCTGCCTCAGGTCTAGGCTGTGACTTGCCGTGATTCCCACACATAGCAACTTCCCACTGAACCCGTGAAGCTTCTAGCTTCTTCTAGGTTCACAGAAATTAATGCTTCCCATTCGGTAGCAGAAAAAGTTGTGCAGGTACAGATGTGATTGGTAGGAGGAATGCTGTGGGGACAGGAACATAATCTTAGAGCGAGGAGTTCTGGAGGTAGAGCCACAGCAGAGAGGTAATAGGGCTGGACTTCCAATAATAATAACAGCAATACCAGAATAAAGCTATACCTTTATGAATTAAGGGTAGCACTTTACTAACAATTACTAATCATTATTTTTAGGAGAAAGAATGAAAATACATGGATCCCAGGTAAGCAGAATTCTCATCAATTACAATTTTTACAGGTAATTTTGTGACTTAGTATATTTTTAAAAGCAGGCTGCAATTGTGCTAGCGCTAACTAAAGGATAAGACAACTCATATCTGCAGTCCTACATTATCTCACTCACTTGCATTCATGGTTTATGTAGATGTGTTTTACCCCTTTGCGATTTTAAAATGGCATACTAAAGTATGACGTTATGTGCTGCAGAGCACATAAACCCTTTGGCTGTTGACCAAGGCATGTCTGTTTAATCTAAACTCTTTACATTTCTCTTACTAAAACAAGGAAAAAAAGCTTACATGGATTTTTGTTTCCCCTCTTTTCCAGGAACCTATGCCTCCCCCACGGTAAGATCACTTAAGAGATCACTTACTTGCCAACCTCAGGGAACTCGGTGCTAATAAATGCTCACATCCATCTATACCACTTATGGTAACAAGATGACTGGAAGTTAGCTGATGTCCTTTTACTACCTGGCTCTCTTTGGACCTCTTTAGGTTCTGATATGAAATTAGGGAGAAGAAAACATGAGCCACAAGTGTTTATAGCAGGAGCTTGGGCCTGCATCTTCAAAATCAATTTGGCTGAGCCTACAACCAAGACAAAATCTGAGAAATCTTGAATCTGGTTCAACCCACATATAAATTGTTGGGGGAAAAAAAAAAATCTTCCATCATTTTGTATTGGTGCCTTAGGCTCTGTTCACCACAATAATATTGATTTCATTGCCTCTTAAGTCTTTGTCCTGGGTTCTGCCATTTTTTTTTTTGCTACAAATCTAAATTGTGTCCATAGAAATCAACTGGAATATTGCTACTTACTGGACCAAGCTCTATTCCACAAATATATTTTTCTATTTTATGCCCACAAACAGAAATGAATTGCTTCTTGATCTTTTCAACCCCAAACAATAACTGCTACAATTAAGATATCATTCCAAAAGGTCATCCAGGGCTGACAAGCTTATTCCTCTATGCATACATTGACTGCCATAAAAGCGATAAAGAAGTTTAAAATATGATTAGCACTACAGACATATTCAGACTATTGCTGAAGTTAAAATATGAAATAAGAGTATAAAAGGACTGTAGCTTCACAAATTCAAAACTGTAAAAGCACAGAAATAAGAACATTCTCATTCCATTATTCTACAAAATTTCACTATTTGTTTACATTTGCATTATGGTGGCCAGAATGGCTCTTAATTCTCTCACCTGACTTCATTTTGGTCTGTACCATGCAAACACAACAGGGTCCCTCCCCAGGAGCCCACCACTGAAGGGCAGATCTGCCATGCAGCATGGATGCATCTCCAGTTTTACTCACCCAAGCTCTCCATGCTACAGCTTCCAGCTGAAGGTGGGCTGTGGCTGGTCTCAGAGCACGGGCAGAGTGTGCCCACATCTGCCAGAAAACACCGGGCACATGTTAGCTGTGAGTTTTCTGGGATAAGGAGCATTTTTTATTGTGTGTCTGAACTGCAGCATGTTCCCTGGCTGGGCCTTATACACAGCCATATCCACCCAGAAAAATCAACACTGGAGAGCAGTACTTGGCACACACTGCTGAAGTGCGTGAAAGTGGTAAGTGGCACATAACACAGTATAGTAATGTCTTGCAATGGTAGAGTATTATCCAAAATTACTATTGCTATTGAAGCGCCCCAGGAAGCTCCTGGACCTGAGCTAAGCTCAGCACAAATACATTGAAATGCTCTTGGAAAATTCCAGTGTTTTACTTCTCGAGTTTGCACTTACAGTCCCTGCGCCTCCTTTATTCCCTAATAGTTTTTCAAATTCTCCTTTGACTTCTCTAGGCCTCTGAAGACACTTCCAAAGCAATATCAGCCACTTCCTCCAGAGCCAAAGATAAGCAGCCAATTCTTTCACATGAGGAAAACATTCAGCCAAGCGCACACCTTTCCAATATCAGCAAAAGTCACAAGGTACGGGTGCATTCCTCATCCTCATTCCCTGAGAACTAAAACTCCCCCTCTTCAATCCACAAGACTTTACCTCCATTGCACCTCTCCTTTTACCTACGAAGAAGAAGAAAAAAAAAGTTATTCTTTAGACAGCTGTGAATAATTGAGAGAAGTGGTATTTAGTGTAATGTGACACTAGCATTTTTTAAAGAAAAAACTGCCAAAATAATGGCAAAGAAGTAAAGGAGTAGAAAAGAAGGCAGAACTTTCATGAACACTTTGTTTAAGGTTTGTCCTACTTTTTCCTACTAACATATAGAGGTTTTGCAACCACTTCTAAGTAGAAACAATTGCACTTGCTCAGCACAGTTGGTAAATCAAGTGATGAGGGCAATACACTGACCACACTAGAAATACATAAATACACTCCACTTCCCAAGGATGTTACATTCAGCAAAAGAAATTACTAATCTGTAGCCAGAATTCTTGCTCCAGCCCATGAGACCAATGAATCCAGACTAGAAGTCGCTTCTTGCCCTCTCCCTCTTGCCCTCTGCCATCGTACGACACCCATGGTCATTCAGCATCCTGAAGTGGCAATGTGGATGAACGCTGAGTCCTGAAGTATAAACCACTTGTGTCCAGCTGTATGGTTGAGCATATGCGTATGTCAGGTTATGAGTCTGGTTGCTTTTTCACACAACATATGTATCTAGTCACATGAGCGTGTATGTACACTGCTCATTGCCATGTAACCAGATGCATACGTGCTCTTGCTGTGTGACCAAAATGGACATTCATAAATAGGGATGGTGGTGGATACAAATAGAGGTGGCGGGAAGAGGAATGGCACACATCCAGGGGCCACAGTATATAAAGTTCAAATGCCTCTCAACGAAAACCTACCCCAGCCAGAAGTTTGGGCACAACTGAGTTGTGTTAATCCTGTCCACCCTTTCTTAATGGCTTCAATTTCAGTTCATCAGGATGGAATTTTGCTTCATTTTACAAAGGTCACTACAAATCCCGGGGGGGGGGGGGGGGTGGGGGGTGGAATAAAAGCTTACAAATCGATGAAATAATCTTCTGCTTAAAGTTAAGTATAAACTTAAGGAGTGAGTTCTAAGTATGGGTTGGCTTTTTTCCCGAATGGTGCTTAAATTCCTTCATGGATTAGGTTCCAAACGCTGTTGGTTGTTAAGACATTTTATTAATATGAAGTAGCTTCATATTCAGGTGTGTGACCTGACCTACAGCTGCAAAGTTCCAAATCCCCTGACTGATCCTCTCCTTCAGTATGGCAGCACATACATTGAAAGCTCTCTGAGATCTCTTATAAACCATGTTTGCCAGCAGACATCAGTATGCAAAAGACTTGGATTTGAAAGGTCCTATTATAAAGGCAAATTCTGTAATATAAATACATATCATTATTTATTCTAGAAGTAAAAGGCAGAAGTAAAAATCATAATCACCAAACTCCACTTCTCATTGCAGTTATAGACACCAAAATATTTCTAACAGCTTGTTGTTTCATTTTTTTTTTTGTACTAGGCTTTTTAATCACATGAGTAAGAGGAGTGACAGAGACTAAGACCACACATGATCTGGGGAAGGTGCTTCACAAATTTCCCTCACAATCACTTAATGCAAAATATTGCTCAGCCATCTTTAGTCCAGCCACAGCTTTGTAAGGAGAAAACATACATATGAGCTACAGTGTGGAGGAGTACGGTGCTACAGCCGTTATCTGCCAGACTGTAAGCAAAGCTGTCAAACCACAGATGTGATATAGGAGTGCAAGTCCTGTTTTCCAACAAGATTTGTAAGACTTATAAAATTAAACATATCATTATTTATACACTCTATAAATAGCTTTATTAAAAAAAAAAAAAAAAATAAAGGCATGTGCAGGATCCTAGACTGTATCTTAGAAGCTTTGGTGTGATGTAAACTTCCATGTGCCCGTGGTAAGCAGGCCATGAGTGGCACGTCCCCTCATGGTGGAGGCCAGCCCCACAAGTATACCTTTATTAGAGTTTCACCTTACCATGTACCCAATGTCCTGGATATAGGTTTTCACACATCAAACAGTGACCTTGGAGACGAAGTTAACAAATTGAAGAAGCTAACACAAAAGCAATTATCCAAACCCAAACCAGTTCTTCTCCCTTCTCCTAGCCTTCCTGAAACTTTCCCCTAACAGATCATTCCCAAATTTCTTGCCTCTTTAACCTTCTGTGCTGATGTTTTCAGCACAGGAGCAAGGAAGAGACCCCTTTTCACTGAACAAGTGTTGAAAAATAGTTCCCAGGGTTTTCTATACCGTGTCTTCTTTTTGCATTTTCTCTGACTGATTTAGCAAAACAACTCACTGTCATGTTTTCTCAGTCCATGAGGTAAGCTAAGGAGGGACTAAATCCCAGAGCCTTCAAAAAACTACTAGATGCTTATCCACACCTTACGCTACTAAATAACTTCTAAAATCTGGTCCTCTATCTCCTTTATTATGAGATATATGCTGCTAAAAAGCTTGAGCGTTCATCATACCCAGGACATCTAACAAAAGATGTCAGACTCGAATACATTGTCCGTTTTTGAGGGGAGAATATTTTCTGATGAACCTTCTCATGAAAGGAAGATATTACTGTTGATCAGGCACATCAGAAGGCAGAAAAATATCTAAAGACCTTGAATCAGGGACCATGAGAAGCATTCTCCATTCCTCATTCCCTGGTTTGCACCTGCTTTCCTTTACACTTTCCATTCTGCCTCTGTGAATGTTTCACTTCTGAAACTCTCCAGTCTTCAAGGAACTTACCACCATTTATAGCTGATTTTAAAGTTCATAACAAGACTTTTTGGAATGAGATGAAAAGTGTTGAAGAAAGCTGATAATCATTCATATCTCTTCTCCCCTCCTCTCAGAATAAATCTTTAGTGAAGACTTTTCTTTTTTACCATAATGAATTCAGTGGATGCTATTCTTTTTTTATGGAAGTCCATAACCTTCTCCTGCAAATAATATATAAAAAAAAAAAAAAAAAAATAACCAGCCTCTGAATTTCTATAGTAGTAATAAAATCCTTCCCTTGCCAAGGGCTGTTAATTTTCAGTGATGATGTAATCAAAGTATTTAAATGCTCAAAGTGATTTTATGATAATGAAATGTTTTGCATATAATTCTTTCTTTTCCAGACATCTATCTGTTAAGGAACTAAACCAAGTAAGTAATCATCTCTGCATATATTAGAATCATACAACCCATACACAATTCATGGCTTCACTGTCTCTTTTGTAACAGTGCGTTAGCCTATTAGGTAAAGATACTATAAGAATATTAGCTTTGGGTCATAAATGTATCTATCTTTAATGTGTGTAGCATTTTCAGTATTGCTTCTTTCTGATTGGCAAGTAAGTTGTTGAAGTTGCTTGCAGAAATAAAAGCATACATACAGTGCAAAGGTACCTTCCCAAGTATCCACATAAAAGCGTATCTCGTAACTGCCAGATGCTGTGGATGCCTATGAGCGGTAAGCAGCAGGAGAGACACTCTCTGTCAAAGAAACAGAGGTTCCACACAGATTTTTAAAAGCAGAAAACTGAAATATAAAGTCAACAGAGGAGTGCAGTAGTATTACTGTGATGTAAATACAAGGTTACTTCAAAAATAAGATGACCCATTTCAATAAGAGAAATAAAAAAATGACAAATTTTATACCCAGAATGAACCTCACCTATTATCCCCCAGCTCCATTCTCCCTCTCCTGTCCCTCCTCCTTCCCCAGGGCCTCTCACAAGCACTACAACATCTGTCACCTCAGACAAACAGCAGCTTTGCCTACAAAAGATCTCCGTCAGCAACCGAGGGGGCCACCACAGTGCTGCTCAGGCGCCTGCGTGGTCCCGCAGCTTCCCGCAGCCAAAGCCCCCGCCGCCCTCCCCGGCAAGGTGGGGACCCCAGCCACAGCGATGCCCGGTCCTCACCTCCCCCAAGCCCAGCACAGCCTACCTGCCCAAGCTCACGCTCCGCTATCTCCTCAGACCTCCTGTAAGCCCCAGTACATCCCCACAGTTCATCTCCTGCTAGCCCCATCCTCCAGCTCACAACCCACCCTCCTCACAGCCAGCCTGCAAAGCTCCACCAAGGGCAGCTCTGGGCTCCAGGCGCTGCTGAGGCGTGTGTGCTCTCAGTGCTGAAGCAGCAGCCCCGAGTTCCCCTGTCTGACAGAGGCTAAGAGGGCTCTTCCCTCCCTCCCTGCACCTCCATGCTGACCACTTCTCCCAGCACAGCCACCTGCAGCCCCGCCACCGGCGACCCCTGCACCAGCCACCGGTGTCCACAGGCCAGAAGCTGAGAGGTGATGGTGGGAATGCACCTATAGGCATATATAAGGCAGAAAGCAGCAACTTTTACACAGGGACTGGTAAAGCGTTTGTTTTTTTCAGATCCCAGTTTCTCTCAAAATGTTTTTAGTAAGTTCCTTCACTTTTTACTCAGGCCAATGAAGTAAAGCAGAGGAAATGGAGTTAGCAATAAAGGGATTTAAGTTACAAGTGGTTTCCTAAAAGATGTATTAAGAGATACAGTTGCTACAATAACACAGAGTGTTAAAATATGCTTGTAAAATTCAGAGATAAATTATAATTTATGGCATTTTGTGTTGCTTACTGAATGTTCTATTTACTGCACTAATGTGTTTATCGTATCCATTTTTTTATCTCATTGCAAGGGAACAGAGGAAAGAAAGGAATCTCTATACTGGTCAAGCCCAGCAATTTCCTACCATAGAGGCCTGTAGCACGAATGTGTAGACTAGTCTAGCTCTAACTTTCAAGTCCTTTGAGTTTTTCTTCTCCAAAGTTCTGCCTAGGAGGCTGTCCCAAACCTCCCATAGTTAGAAACTCTTTTAGTTCGAAAGATCATTACAAAACACGGTTTCACTGAAATACTGTAATTAACACTTAATACTAAAAAAAAATATGTATTGGCAAGAAAGATAGTATTTTAACACAAAAATCTTCGTCTTATCCTAGATACTGACTCATTACAAACCAAATATGAAAACATCCCCAAGAACAATAAATATCATACATCTGTAATATTTCTGGCTGGGCGCTGTACAGCTGCACAAATACTGCAGCTCTTAACAGGCTCTTAGTTTGGCTATGTCTTAAGCAGAAACATTTTATATCTCATAATGTGGAAAAGATAAATTTTAATTTGGATCACTTCCCATTCATATGAATCTGAAGACATAAATAGTTTCAGTGTGACACGGAGGAGGAGACAGATTGTGTCCTTGTCAGTATTTTGGACACCAAACAGCAGGTCAATAGGTTTGAGAGCAGGACTGACCTTCACCGGGACCCAGACAGGCTGTAGGAAAGGGTCAAGAGGAGCGTCCTGAAATTGGAAAGGGCAAATGCAAAATCCTGTCCCAGGATGGACTAACCCCCTTGGCAGCAGCTCTGCTCAAAAGAACCTGGGGCCCATAGGCTGAACGTGAGCCACTGGTGTGTCTTTGGTGGCCGTAAAGCCTAACCGTGTATCAAGCTGTATCACCAGAAGCATAGCCAAGAGATCAAAGGGAGCAACTATTCCCTTTTACTCATCACTCATTAGACAACACCAGGCTGCTGTTGGCAGAAAGGAGTAGGTCAGCAGAGGGTCACCAGTACAGTCAGGGCATGCAGCACCTGCCCTGAGAAATGAGGCTGATAGGGCCAGGTTCCCATGGCCTGGAGCGGGGATGGCTCAGGGGGAAGACAAGAGCAGCCTGCCAGATGATTATCAAGAAGGCAGAGCACGGCACTTTACAGAGGGCACAGTGGAAGTACAAGGCAAGAATCCTGAAACGAGTGAAGTTTCAACCAGAAATAAGGACGAAAAATTAATTATGAGGGTATTTATGAGGGTCTTGGAACAGATTGCCCAGAGATGCTGTGAAATCTCTGTTCTGGAGGTTTGCAAGACCCAGCTGGTCAAAGCTCTGACACCAGGTCTCATCTGACAGTTCACCAAGCCTTAAGGAGGAGCTTGGACTAGAGACCCACCTAAGTCCCTTCCAACCTGAGTGAGACTATGAATTTCTAAATAATGTGTAAATATTACTGAGGAAACAACTTTTAACGAAGACTCAAAATGCAACATCTACAAAGAGTAAAACTTTCTTCTCTTACCTATTATAATCTTATATGTATCAAATTAACAAAACAGTTATTATTCCCACGTGAATCAAAATAATATAGAAATATGGTGAAAGTTTATGAGTCAAACTCTGGTCTTTAGGCACCTATCATTCACTTCTTTGGAACATAATATGCTGAGTTAAGATTCTCCACAGAGTGATTTTGAATGAAGTATCTGCCACAACAGTAAAAAAAATTGTACTGTCAGTTAAGGAGCCTGAGAAGAAATGACTGATTTTAATTTTTGGATAGCGTATCTCCAGTCAATCAAAATCAATGTCTTAATTTAATACAAGATCACTGAAGGAAAACCATGCAAGTTAAACTGATGCACAATAGTTATCATGAAAAGGTGATCATTGCAGTAAACCATATGTTCATGTACATCCCTAAAAATTCAGTTCTCATTGTTGCAAGTGGACTGAGATCAGCATTCAGTCTGAGTTTTTGAAAAAGTGATTAAGTATTAATGATTGAATGTCTATAATTTGTTTTAAAATTAAAAGATTGTTTGGTCTGTTGGGGTAAGTTCAAGTTGGTAATCAAAAAAATATTTACTGTCTATGTTATCATTTTATCTAGGCACCTGGAAGAGAACAAGGTTAGTATTTAATAATATGATATTAATTTGTTATCTTTCCTTTGTATTCCAATAACAAAATATTCAATCATTAAAATTCTGGCTGAAGTAATCAGTATAGGAACCTGACATCTATCCTACTATGTAGTATCCGGCTGTCTGGCTCTATATTTATATGAGTAAGAGACATCCCCCAGGTATATGTCTGCTGAGAACAGAGATCTAGAGTGACCTCAACAGTTGTGGAAGATGTAGCAGAAAAAAGGGAATTTAACCTGGCATTAACCACAGCTATTTGGGGAGCCAGGGTATCGCATTTGTTCTAAGCAAATCAAAGTCTTAAGGCTCTGGGGAAAATAAGAGTGCTGGAATCTAAAAAAAAAAAAAAACAAAAAACTGGATTAATCTGATCTGCACAGAGAACATCACCCTTCTCTCTAGCTTGTTCTTCTCCCATAATTTGAGAATTTTGAAAAAAAAAAAAAAAATGTAAAGCTTTAGGCTTTTAAAGCTACAAAAAAGTGGTTTGGTTTGGTTTTTAAAAAGCACATATATTAAATACAAGACAATTCTTTAGATGTACATATAGCTTTGAATAAACAGCTTAAGCTACTTACTATGTACATGTGCCTGAAGGCCCACGAAAAAAAATGTTACTCTGAAATACTTTGAAGATAGGTACAGGTTATGTGATTTTTATGCTGTTTACAGGTTTGTGTTAATGAGTTCATAATTTCCTCTGGCATTTCCCTTTGTGGATTAAGGCACAGTTTCCTGATATTCAGCTAGAAATAATATTGACTGCATTAATATATTCAATGCCTATCTATCCTGTCCTATAAAAAGGATTTATGAACCCTCCATATACTTCTTGTACAGCATTCTACATTATTTACCATTTTGTTAAGCCATATTTGGCATCAGCAAAACCTGTAATGTTCACCATGTAATGTTCAGTACTAGTATAAATGTTTCCCCCTGAAATCATTAGCTGACTCATTTAAGCCAGACTGATTGCAGCCTATTAGGTTTTTCTATTGACCTGCCTCCCCCTCAATATATTAAATCAGTTAAGTTAATTTATTTCACAGTAGTAGCTACACAGTCAAAGTTACACATAAGAGGAAGTAATAAGTTCTTATTCTTTTTACTCATAATTACAGATTTGGGGAAGAAACCTGAAACATATTCTCAAGCACAAAAGTATAAATCAAAGCATCATCCTGAAGCCAGGTAGGAATATAAGAATTTCATGAGTTTGTACTGGATGTTTCAAGGGCTAAACATTCTGCTCTATGCAGTAAAAGCAAGATAATACACTTTCTGGTGCCATGTAGTGATATATTAGGTTTTGCCCTGGTGCAATGACAAGAACCGTCTTTGGGAATTGCTTTCAAGCTATTGTAATTGCACATTCCATTTTTATCTTTAATAGCATACTACTGAATTACATTTTTGCCTCACTTTCCATGATATGATGTTAAATATACTGTTTAAAGAAGTTCTGCCATCTCCAGCCTCAGTATTCCCTCCTTCTATTTTTACATACAAAGAATATATGCTTAGCCTTTCAAAGGCCAATTATTGTTCCATAGAAATCTGCCACAGTTGTTCCTATTTTTCTTTTCTAACCGACACAAATCTCTCTTTTCTAAATGTGCCTTTAAATCTATATCCTCCTAAAGTATGCAACAAAAGCCAAAAGTATAGGATACAGTATAGGAAGCGTATGAATGATTTAATGTCTTTCCTAGAAAAATACTGAATCTCTTATCTAGCCTTGTTTACAATGATGGCATTTCTCCCATATAAAATTATTGCTTGGAGTAGGTGTGACAGTATTTGTGACTCCTAGTATTTTGTTTCTTCTTGTGTGGGACCAGTGGCTCTGTTAAGTGAAGTTATTTGGATGGTGCTCTTCCCAGTGTAACCATTCTAATTAATAGCACAACAAAATGCCAGCTGGGTGCTCAGCAGCGATCTAGAAAATCAGAAAGGGCTGGGAACAACTGCTCCCTCGGTCTTCCTATAGAAGAACTGGGAACATCAGGTGAAATTAGCAGGGAACAGGCTCAAAACAAACAAAAGCAAGTTGTGCTTCACTACACATGTAGTTAAAACGTGAAACTCTTGCCAAATACTCCTGTGGAGAGTAAAAATCTATATAACTTCAAAAAGTGGATCGTGAAATGAATGGAAATTTGTCAAAAGATGCTAAATGCAAAATTACCACCCAAAACCCAGGAAGGCCGAAGAGAAAGGGGTATTCTGGGGAAGCACAGCTATGCATTGCTCTCTAATGTGACTCTTACTTAAATACTGCCATTAACAGAAATACTTTTCTGATATTACTTTCATTCATTAATTTTTCCTAGCCTTCAGTGTACACGGAGCTCTAAAACCGTTTGCAGCTCAGGTAAGAACCAGAGATTGCTTTGAAAATTAAACCAGGCATGAATAAGAAGCAGATTAGTGTTTCTAGGTGTTTATGTTTGCACCAGGGATTTTCAATGCACAGAGTTAGGACAAAGGGATTATTAAAGAAAGCAAGAAGAAAACAGATAAAACAATGGCACAGTCAATAGTAGTGAAGAAACAAGCAGGGAGTTACTTGCTCAGCTATACCCCATGCCTGGTTCAAGCTCATCAATGTCCAACCTAGGATGCAAGTGTTTAATCACTGCAGACCCCCACATCCAGAGGACAGGGATTTGGACGAGCTGCTGAAGGACAGTGGGGAGAGGAAGAGAAGGCAAATTGCTTGGGCATACAAAGAGATGCCCACAGAGAAGGAGCATGCTGCGAGCACAGCCATCCCTGCTTTTCCAGGCAGAGATGCAATCAGCTGGGCTAAATGGAAGCTACGGGTGTCCAGAACGTTATAGAGCAGCTACTATGGGTTTAAAGCCTTTCTGTAAACAAATAAACTGATCTTTGAAGGAATTGCTTTAGATTTATCCCCAATTCCTAGAGGGAACGATATGTAGGTACCATTATCAGGCAGGTCTGTCAAATAACTATGGTTGGAAATAGGACTTCTCCTGCACCGTGTGGTCTTACCTAAGGGAATGTACTGGAAGCCAACATTAACACTGGTGGGGGGCCCTGCCAAGAAAGGGCCTGTGGGAGGGCCTGCCCAGGAACTGTGGCAATGTCCCTCTGTTCATCTTCCCCACATTTATGACTGCCAGAATTTAATCCAACACACAGGAGTAGTTTCACTAGATTCATATGCACAGTCTTTCTGATCTTGAAGACAATACTTCTACAAACACTATTAAAAGTTGTATTAGCTTTTTGCTGTCATGTCATATCGTATCTGTCATCCACCAAGCCCACTACCTAATTTCTTTTAGAAAAATATGACCTCATTAGTATTTAACTCAAAATTCCTATGTGGCTCATCCATACTTTTCAATATACTTACACCTGCTTTAGCAAGTATTCCCATAAACCCAAGAGAGACAGAAAAACACTCCAGCATGTGCTTAGAGACTTTTGAAAAGCAAAATCCCTTTATTAGCCAAACTTCATTATAAGAATTGTGTAAGCAAAAGAAAACACTTACCATTCTGCTGTGTAAATATCATTTCTTTTGCAAAACCGCATAGTAAAGATAAAAGATGCTATAAAGGAAACTCTGATATATGTCTTTCATAAACAGATTGTTTGGTAAGGAGGTGTTTATACCTTAGATGGAATACATATAAATAACACAACCTCAGTCTTTTTGGTTTTTTGAATGTCATTAAAATGCACCAGCCAAGTTAGCTCATGCTATATCTCCATTCCTCAAAAAGACAGTTCATGCCTTCGTAGACCCAGGGGCTCTGGGGACTGAGAGACTATAGGAAACATCCATACTGGTAACTGCCTACTGTCCTTGACTACACTTACTATACTTTCATATTATCCCTTAACTGCCTCTGCAAATGTCCTTTTGTATCAAAAACCCCAAATCCCTATGCTGTGCCAAAAACCTGTAAGTTGCATAATGTGAATTTATGGTAAAAGCAAATACTTCCAGGAAGAACATACAGACTACATTATTTGTTCAGATAAAGTAGGAATCACTTTAACTTTGGACACTGCCAGGCTAAGGAAGCGGACCTATCCCAGCTTTGTTTCCCAGGCTCCAGCTCCCTAATTCTGGTGGCAGCCCTCCACTGAGCCACTGCTGGTTATTAACACCCTTCTTGTGCTGGGGGGGCAATTCCACATACCCTCCTCTAGATACCTACTAAAAATCTTTCTTCATACAGTCCACAAAGCTCACAGAGGTCAGTGTTTGTTGCTGTTCTCAGAAGCCTCTCAGTCTTTTTCCTAGGTGCCCCATACCCATCTTGACTTCAGACACCCCCTACCATCCCTCCCCCTGCTCTTGGTCATTCAGGCTCTCTGGGACAGCACCATCTCCCTTTCTCTCTGTAAATTCCTTGCCCTCCTGAAACTACAAGGAGAGAACAAACAAGTAGCCTTTCCCCATGCTACCCTACAGTTGCCTTTAAAGTTCCTATTTGGTTTTAAAAATATTTTAAGATGAAATATTAATTTTATTAAGTTTACACATAGGATCTAAAAAGGGGTATTTGTAAGCACATAGGTGTTAGCTTTGCAGCTGGACTTTACATGAACTTAAAGGTCTTTCCCAACCTAAATGATTCCATGATTCTGTATTTCCCTCTGGTAGTTTTAGATTTTATTGTTGAAAACAAGTGTTTTTCTGTGCAAAAATCTAAAACATTCTTCTTCAATTTCTCAACAAGCTGTTGTTAACTCCATCCCAGCCAGATCCAATACATGAGCATTGCGAGAGCATTTTCCACTTCTTGTCCCGCAGCTTAAGACATACCAGAAAAAATTCTACAGAATATACACAGCACCTGTCACAAAGCAAACATGGTCCTAGCTGTGGGGTCTCTTTTTAAAAATAACCTATCTCGGGATAGCCACTAAAAATGCAATGTGAACACAAATGCCAAAGTCAGGATCTCATAAGCTGAATGGTGAAATATTTGCATTTTGACAACTCAACCTAACTGATGAAACAAAATGTAGATGTCTGGTCCCAGACTCTTAGAACAGTGATTTCATTTCTGAATGGACTGATTGTCTGCTGAAGACCATGGCTGCTTGTTTACTGTCTTAGAAACTAATGCAATGCTGTTATAAAACAGAACATGGTATGCATATGCACAAAACACTGAAACGCAGTGAAAATTATTATTCTTCTGTAAAAGAATGTCTTCCAAGTAAAATTTCTTCAATATTCTGTAATATGCTATATATGGGCAGAAAAATAACAAACTGATAAAAGCATGAACAATAGATAAAACATAATGAAATACCGCTTTGGCAAACGTTACTGTCTCTTCTGACAGTAACCAGAAGGAAAAGATGGAAGCCATTGATAATCACATTTTTCTCATTTACTCTTACAATAGACACTAGGTCATTTCTCTCACCAGCACTGCATGAAACAACAAAAAAAAAATTTTTCTGTTGTAGAGCAGATGAGGTTTATCTTCAATTAACCATTTTCCACCTATGACATGTACCTGCAAATAGCATTTGAACTATACATTGAAAGCAAGCCCTTGCTATTCTCAGGCTGTTTCCGCTGCATCCTGATCGGACTCGGCCTGAGCCTCCCACATTACCCCACGCTTCGTGTGCCTGCGCCATCTCCTCTGCTCACGCAGCTCCCCAGTGACGTGGCGAGCTGGGGCCGGATGGCAAATGGCAGCCCTAAACCTACAGACGGCAAATCAGATTTGCTTTGGGAGGAGGGTTTTCAGCCACGTAAGCTCCCTCTGCCAGCTGCCTTCCCAGCAGTGCGGCATGGAGCAGGAACGCACAGCCGGGGACCACCACTTTCATCTTTTTCTTAATGCAAGAGCGGCCTCGCTTCTGGGTCCTAAAGTTGTTAATTGAAACAAGTCGCAGAGCAGGCTGAAATTCATCAGCGTGGCAGACTCTCGGAACCGTTTAAGGTTTCAACAGCTTGGCAGAAACAACGCTAGCTGGCAATGGGATAATAAGGGGTTTTAATATGATCCAATGTAACAGCAGCTCTGATCCAACACAAATAAAAGGGGCTCAAAAGGTGAAAGAAGAACAGAATGAACTGTTACACTCGTATTGTATTTATAATTTTAGTTAGCATTTGCTATTTCATTAATAGTTTATCTTTAATATTTTGCTGTGTGCACAAAAACCTGGCAGAGCGATGTCAATTAAAGAACAAGAAGAAACTAATGTATTAAATCTCTCAGGGCATGAATCTGAAATTACTGGTGCTGCACTAGCACAAGACCACTCATAACTGACAGCTCTAACTTTTAAAGGTTAATATTGCAATACTATATTTCTAAACCGTAAATGCTATTCTCAGACTTACTAAGTAAAACTGGTAAGTTACAGTTTCATTTTACCCCAAGTTTAAAAAAATACTTTTTTCCTTCTGAATTTACTTTTACAGGGTCCATGTTAAATGTAGAGAATTTGTCAGTGAAGAGGTCACCATCTCCTATACCGTACGCGGCATGCAAAAATAAATCAAAACATTCACTTGTAAAATGGGAAATGCCATCTCCTACCCAACACACTGAAAAGGTAAAGAATGCTCTGCTTCATAGAGAAACAGGTTTTTACAAAACAGGATTATCACTATAGGGCACACACATACTCCCCTGTAGGAACTATTTACTAAAAACATTCCCCTCAAGAAGTTAAATGGTCTGAAAGTAGCAGGTATTCAGCATCCTTGAAAACAGTATGAGCTCTTGAAAGCATGGATAAGAGTTTAGATGTCTAATTTCATTCAGATTTCCTAACAGGGCTTCTCAATATAAATGCATTACAATTATTTTTATAAACTACGCTAAACTTGCTTTAAATGCGGATTGGATATTACCTGTTTTCTGTTATCTGGCTTCTGCTTCTTCCCGCTGTGGTTAATTTCTATACACTGATTATGTTATCTTAAAATGAAGGATTTAAACAAATATGAATGGTATGTTGGAGAATATAATCGCCATGAAGCAGAGAAGGCACTGTTACAGGAAAACACTGTAAGTAGAATTTAACTTGAAATCTGGGGTGTAAACTCTTGGGAGAAAATGTCTGTAAACTGCCCACAATGGCTTACAAGTTTTGTTGTGAAATAGCCATATAATCCATAATTTAAATCTGTTTCATACAGGATGAGACATTCTTGGTTAGAGATTGTTCAAATAAATCAAGTGCTGAACCATATGTTTTGGTCATCTATTATGGAAGAAGAGTATACAACATTAAAGTACGTTTTCTGGAAGAGAGCCAACAATACATGCTGGGAACAGGGCTCAGAGGAGATGATGTAAGTAAGATCCCACCTAACATTATAGTCTATTGCTTTTATGTCACCGTTCACAAGTTCTTAATACTAAAGATTAGTTACAAACTCTCCTACATAACGAACTGGCTGCTTCATTAGCTTCTTTTACAGTAATTCGCTTCAAGTATGTCTCAAAGCTTCAAGCAACTTCAAGATAGTAATTTAAAACCAAATTTTACATACCATGCTCAGATTCAGACTTAAACCGATGTGAAAATTTCCTAAGTACTTATAATACTTCTACTAAATAACACCTGCAAAGTAAAGGGGAAAGAAAAGTCCTCCCTTTCCAGGTATACATGTTATTTTAGCGTATTTTTTTTAACTTGTAATATAAGCAGGTATTTTAAAATACATACAACTCCACATATCTGACAGCATGGCCTGTTGCTGTTATTGCTGCATAATGTCTCATTATCTGTCTCTCATAGGAGCAAACCAGGAATTAATATCTTAAAAAACAGAAGAGAAAATAGGACAAAAGTTGTCATGGATATTCAGAGGCAATTAAATCACATGGGTGCCCACAAATCTGTCTTTCAGATATGGTAAATTTCAATTAGAAAAATCCCTTTAGATTAGCAATGCTTTTTCACGTAATTAAACTCAATTATATCCACGACAAGAGTCTAATTCTTACTCAACCTATAAGGCTAAAATACAAATACTGTATCTGTAGGTCTTTCACATAAGAAAAAAACTGAAACAGTCATCTCTATAAAGATGTCATACTCGCAAAAAAAAAAGAAATAAAAGAAACTTAAGGAAATTTCCTGCAGTTTTAGTATGATTTAGGAGAAAGCAAGCTTAGTTTTCAGTGGTTCTTTAGTCTTCCTGTAATGCCCCTGATAAAAAAAGGCTAATTAGAAACAATGACTGACTAAAAAAATTGAATGGAACTGAAATATGGTACACTACAGGATAATGGAGTATATGCATGGTATACTACAGAATAAAGACAAAACTAAATTTTCATCATTTTAACAGATTCAACAATTAAGGCAACTAGAAAATGAACTGAACAATACGTGAGCAATTTTTACTGAACTAAAATGAACACATTCCCTCCCATCTCAATTAATACCAAAATATCTAACTTTGTTGTTTGTTCCAGCTGGTGCACAGAAAGTACATATCTTAAACAGCGTGTCTGGACTCACAACAGTCAAACTGGAAAGTTACAATTCCAGAATAAGGTTTTCAAGCACCTAGTTAACAACCAACAGCATATCTAAGACTTGGCTCTACCAGGCCAAATCTGTAATCATGATATGTTACTTTAAGGCTTCTTTTTTGACTATTGTTTCTCTTTAACTCAGAAATCCTCCCACAGATTAACTACAACAGAAAAAAAAAAATCAGAATTGTTTTGCTAGTCAGCTATGTGTAATACCAGGGAGCCACAGAGATGACAGCCTTCTATGCATTATTCTCAGCAGCAGACATGAAAATAGAATTAACTGGGCATGAAGCATATGTGCAATAATGAACAATCAGCGGCATCAACCTTGCTCAGAAGAGCTACTTCCACCTCAGGCAGTCTCAAAGGATTCCCCAAAAACTCTCTTCCTTGAAGACTGTTACCTCAACTTCTGCAGCTCGCTTAAGGTTATCTCAGGAGAGTGCAAACAATTTGTAAGGTTTTGAATTACAGCAAAATTGATGCCTGTGATTTTCCAATGCCTGTGAAAATGCTTTACAGAGCGCTCTGCATTGTCCCTTCAAAGGGACACTCTTTGTTATACCACATTTTGCAGTATGCAGTGCAACAGTCCAGCTGCTTTACCTAGATTAGCTGAATATTCCCCCTTCACCTGCCAAAGAGAAAGCAAGCTAACCAACAAGAAACAGGTGCAGACCTATTACATTTCTCCCCAGTTGGTGTTTATTCAAACATTGTCTTACAGATTTTCTGCAGTCTGCTTTCACTTTTGGATTAGTCTATTTTCATCCATTATAAACATGTTTTTCTTTACACATAAATATAACTATTCAAAGTTTTCCCTATCCTATTGCAACTTCTGATCTTTCACATAGTTTATGAGTTGTTAACACTTTGTATCAGAGAAGATTTTCAATTAACGATTTTTTTTAAAAATGTATTTAATTCACTTTTCATGAGTGCTTCCATCATCAGTTCTCATGTAGCCCTATAAGGCCATAAGGGGGGCAGAAAAAGCATTGATAGTCAGACTTTTGTTTATGAAAAAAGTAACTGAAGTTCCGTGCAGCTACATTAGTATCAAGCTGGGATATAAGGAATACAAGTAGAGGGAGACAAAAAAAAAAAAACACCCACACACCACCATCTCTGTTAGTGAAGATGCATCTTTTGCTAGCAATTTAGCCACAAATGTTCACTCCTACATACATATTAAATACATTATACTGAGCTCACTAAAGGCCAAGTGACATAAAGCTATAAAGAACAGATCCCCAAATGGGACGCATATGGAATTCAGGCATTTATTTGAAACTGCTGTCCTGAGCGTCCTTTACTTGGCTGTTGCCTTCCTCTACTCCAGTCAGTCTTCAACATTAACGATCCAGAGATACCTGTAATGCTGCTTTTTATGTACATAGTTCCTTTGATGAAATCAAAACCTTCGCCACATTTAAAGCTGATCATAAAGCAAAATTTAAATATTTTTCTTATCTCATTTGCAAAACTAGATCTGCCACACACAAAATACATGTTTTTAGCATGTCTGCAGCATCAGGCTCAACTCACAATGCAATAACTAAAAATCAAAGTCAGAACTATGCTCCTCAACTCAGTGCCTGTTTTACACCGAAGCTTAGAGCACAGCCCAACATGCATCTCTGGATCTCACTGTTCTGGCCACTGATGCTCTCTCCATCCTCACCACTCTCTATCACCATTTGCAGATAACTTTCATTTTCAAACCATCGGTCATACAAGTCGCATCATTTCAATTCAGTTCATTTCAAAGTGAGTGAAACTGATTAGCTCCATCTACCTTCATCAGCCATTAAATTGGCCTCACTCATGAGAGATGAGGAAGCTCTTCCACAATGTCTTCAACTGACAGCATTATGTCAAAAGTTACTGACAGGAAAATGGGCACAGTGAACACCTGTCAGGGGTTGCTAATACTTTCACCCATGTAAACATCTTGTCCACAGCTGAAATGACAGTTCAGGAATGAACTGTTCTCATTCAGGATATGCGACATGTAGACCAGAGTCCTACCACCACCCTGATGCAATCCAAAACTACACCTTGCACAAGCAATCCCTGAGACCCAGAAGAGTCTGGAGAACAGCAGACAGGACTTTCTTATGACAATCAAACAGTCTCTTCAAACAGTGAAAAGAAATGAAGAAATCTGAAGTAGTGAATTTTCTTCATCTTGACGTCTTTGAGTGTTTTTACACCTAACAAAGTGTGGGGTTCCATTAAAAGAGTCAGACAAAATTCTGGACCATCAACACTCATCACTATCATGTCTGTGTCAACTTCATGTTCTAGCAGCTATAAAGAGCTTAATATTTTAAATCTCACTAACTCAAATAAGAGTACAGGATGAAATAAAACAGGAAAAAAGATCTAAGTAACATCTGAGATATTTTTCCCTCATTACCAAAGAGCTACAGCTTAAAGGTACAGTGATAAATAACGTGACATTAGCCAAGTGAAGCCAAGTTAGATTTCCAAAGCAGATGAACAATTACACCAAGACGTTTTAACTTTCCAACCAAGAAAAAAGGTAGAAAACAGGACAAGAAAAAGTGCTGACAAAGAGGAAGTTTAGAATAAAAAGTTAGGATTACTTTGATATGTCATGAAATACAAACCACAGTTTTGCCTAAATTTCTGGTAGCAACAGTGACTTGAACATAAGGCAAAGACAAAACAGAAAAGTGGAACAAATGTATACAAGTAAAAATTATGAAAACAAAACTTAAAAAAAAGCATACTGGTTTTGGGATCAAATAATTTTCATCTTAAAATAATACAGGAACAGTTTCACCAAATCATAGATTTAATCAGATTCTTTTGTTATAAACTAGGTGGGGATCACACAGAGATGACAGAGACTACCATGAGATATCATCATGTATACAATGAATGCCCATGCTTACAGTAAATGTGATATAATATAGGATAAGTATTAATGTTACACACAACACAGTAAGCTTGCTTTACTGTGTACAGTTCTAGTGATTTAATATCAATGAGTCCAAAGAATAGCTCAGGAGGAGAAAGAGCGGCATGATGAGAGTTTAGAAGTCACACACAGGGAAGATGACTGTTTAAACTGAAGGACAGCTAACCATTGGAATGGCAGGATTAAGAGACTCCCAGCAGGACAGATGAGGATAAATACCTTGGATATCTTTCCATTGCTGTTTGATCAGTTCAGGAAACTCGAACCACACCTTTATCATTTTAGGAACACGCTTGGAGAATGTGATTGTTTCGAACACCAGAGAACAAGACTAAAACCCTGTTTATACCCCTCTTGTACATACTCCAAGGGGATTTTATAGCAACTTTCTCAGTAAACTGAATGGGAAAATAAAGGGTACATTTAAGAAGGTACAAAGAAACTTGCAGCGTAAAGTATCACATACTGTTAACTAAGTGTAACTTTTGACAGTGTAAACTGTAAAGATGTTGCGTCATCTTTTCAAAATCTATCATCCAATTTGGCATCCCAAATACTTACAGGTGATACTGCGCTCTTAGGGCTTACACATGCTCCCCTTTGGCCCTAAACAGCCATCTGCTTTCTCCTACACAAGACAGACACAAATGGAACAGAGGATTAAAATCTGGTGGTTTTCTTTTTATGATTGCTTCCCTCTAATCTGACCGCAATTCTATGCAAAATATTACCGATTTCCAATACTGTCATTTGCAAGTCTTTTAATGTTATAGATAAAACAATCTAGCAATTTCATTTTCAGTCACTGATTACAATTTTTCTTTTTCCCCCAGAAATTTAATTCCGTGAAAGAAATCATTGACTTCTACAAATATGTTCCAATCACACTCATTGATGGCAAAGATAAATCAGGACTCCACAGAGAACAATGCTACCTTACATACCCATTCAAGTCATGCAAAAGATATTTTCTGCCTTCATGTCACTGATTTGTTTGTATAGATGTAAATAGAACAATTATTTAAATGTCTCAAAAATCAGATTAACCTCTGAGTGAGGAGCTCCCTATACCATGAAGCATTCTAAATGGTCCATCAAAAGCTTCTCTCCAACTGAGAATACAGAGACCCACTCCATTTTGATCCTTGTAGTTTGTTTTTAACTTTGAGGATACAGGTGCCACCAAGCACAGGATACTTGAGGATACAACATGCCATTGTATTAATTCACAGAAAAATGTTAAGAGAGACTGACTCTCAATATCCTGACAATGACTGAGCAATTTGCTTATCTTGCACTCTACCTTTTTATACCAGACAAAAAAAAAATCAAACTTGGTCTTGCTTACCTAAATGTCACTGAAGCTCGGTTAGTAGGAAAACCTAATAAAGCATACTATAGTCTAATAAAAAATATTCTTGCTTTTAATACACGTGAAATGCTGTTTATCTGAGTACTCACTGTTTAACAATGTCATTTGGTGTGTGCGTTTACATGAAAACAAGCTGTGCTCAGCAGCCACTGAAGTCAGTGGGTGTCAGCTGATGCTCACAGGTACTGGAGCAGATTGTAAAGCTAGCTTTAATTATGTAAATTCTATTACTTAACTAACACTTCTTTAGCTTAAAGTAGCAGATATTTGTATTACATATCTCAGCCCTGAAACACTTACACAGTAGGACCATTATGCAAACAGTCCCTTTGAATTCATACCAGGTGCAAATACAGAGATAAAAATCAACACTAGGAACAGTACATGCGCTTCAAACTCTGCTAGAAAACATGTTCCATTGTGTATGAAAGAACACAAGAAAGTGATATTTTTCCAGAAAAAAAAATACAGTAATATTTATTCATATGAGTTTTGGAAGGCTTAACAAAATTTATTATAAATATGAAAAGCGAACTTCAGTCTTTTTCTGCAAAGCATCCATCTTCCTTTCTAAGCACACTTAGAAATTTGACTAGGTAATTGGAATATACCAAGAAAGCAACCTCAGTTACTTTATCCTTACAGAACAGGAACAAGAAAAATAAAAATGTTCAAGCCCAAAACATAACATTCCAACCCAATTTATGATGTAGTGGCACAAACTAACTCTAAAAAAATTTAGCAGTTGGCTGTTATTTCCTCACAATCTTTTTATTTCTCAATGCTGCATCAAAATGGAACAGAATATTCATTATAATTATTTCTCTCAAACCACTGAGACTGTTAAACTTCAAGGAAATTATTCTGACTTGACATTATCTAAGAAGAATGAAAATTAACAAAACAGAAGCTCCTAAATAGAGTTTGACAGAGCTTATAAAGGAAAAGAGGCAAGATGTAATCTGCTTAAAGAGTTTCATAGCCACCATACAATTTAACTTACAGAAGTTTTTCATGTTAAAATAACAGAAAAAAAATTTCTAAATTAAACCCATGGAAAAAAATACAGTTTAACAATTTAGAAAGCAGATTATGGCAGCGACATACAAAGCTTTGCAAATGTCTACTAAAACAGTAAACTTGCTTACAAAAGACAAGCATTACTAGTATGCTTAAACCACCTAAAGCTGAGCAGCAATGCTTCCCCCATCCCCCCTGCCCCATACAGCTTTCATGAGGAATGTTCTAATTTTGTCAGTGACAACTCTTATGAAACAAATTCAAAACTATTTATTTAGTAGCTTCTACAGAAACAGAATTAATTCAAACAGTAACCTGGACTGAAAGAGTTAAAAAACATGGTTAAAATTCCTCCCTTGTTCTATGTTAACAATTTCAATATTTATGTGATATGCCAGAATTTTAAAATGGAAGCTATTTTCACAATCAAAAATGCAATTAGTGCTGTTAAGTTTGGCATCAAAGTATATGAAGTGAAAAAAACCCCTCTAGTGTACCCATCTAAAAAAATATAATTCCATTTGAATACAAAATGAGAACTGTCCTTTCATTATTATTGACAAAACAGACAAAAGGAAGTTTGTTCTGTGGAATAGATTAGTCTGATACAAATGATACAAAGATTTTCCATGTGTACATGATGAAAAAGATCTGACTTCAAGCACCAACTATCTGAAGGATTTTAACACTGTATTGAAAAATAATGGGAAAGCAGTGTGGTAACTGGTTTTGAAAATAAGCCTCAGTCAAATGTAGTTTTAAAATATTTACATTTCAACACAGATACGATACATACTTTATCAAAACAATGTATAACCTGTTGGAGTATATAAAAAAATATTTCCAGCTTAAACTGTTTACAAAAATGCACCAACAATGAAAAGTTATGGACTGCCAGCTTTTCAAGAGTAGTCCCAGTATGAACAAAGAACACATATCCAGCATTAGAGTCAGTACTAGTTTTTTCTTATCTGTAAAAATGTAAGAAGTGATTTTAATTGTAAATATGTGCTTCAATATAGTTCATTCTATATGGTTTTAAATTGTTTCAAATAGACAAGATGAAGAAAAACATCCGTTGTTCATGTATAGAAACACTAGACTTCAGTATCATCCACACCTCTTCTTGACTGAAAACTTTAAATTTGGCCCTGATTTAAGAAAGCGTTTAAGCAACTGAGCAACGTTTACACTGCACTGAAGTCAGTGGATACATGTTAGACATATATGTAACCAGGCACATGCTTGTAGGAATTGAGGCCTACAAAAAATATATTCTAACATCATCTAAATTCCCAAGATTAAGAAGGATGAAAGATTGCACTGAAAATCTGGTTCAACACTGTCAATGTAAAAGCTGTGCAACATGGGTTTTCATTTTGAAAATTCCTCGTCAGCAAATCGCCCCTGTAAATAAGCATTAACTCACCAACTAGAGTTTTAACCAAGTGCCCAATTCTGAAAATGTGCTTCTATCAGGCTAAACACACATGGTGGTAGAGGGTTTATGTTTGGCTATCACTTCCTTGGATTTCAGAACAGCCTTGAGACCACACAGAGAAAAGCTTCTCTCTCCCATCCATCCAAGCCTAATGGTATCTCCAGCTCCGCCTGTTCAGAACAAAGATGGTACAGAAAGCTGACAGTGTTCTGCTCTCTCACATCTACGCAACATATGCTAGGTAAAGACTAAGTACTAAACAAAATTAAACTTTTTAGTGCTATCTGACCTAGTGGGAGCAACTCTAATCCCACCAATTCTTCATTTACACCCTTGTATCTCCTCTGAAGTCAGCAGAAGTGGTTTTCTTTCACTAAAACAGAGTACTTGCATTTAAGTTCTACTTTTTATGCGTGGTGTTTACTGTGCCACTAACACCCATGATATACACTTGCTGCCCACAGAGAATCAAAGGTGCTTTTCAATACACATATGCTTGATCTCTGGCACACCACGGTGCACTAAAGCAAACTAAACCCTGTTAAATTTACAAAGATTTCATCATCTAAGATTTTAATCTATACAGACCTAGCACAAACCAATTACAGCACAGTATCCTATCACAGAGAACAGTAACTAGAAAGATGTTTGCATAGCAATTCTTTCTCAGATTTCTCCTATGGAACAGATGAAGTTGACCTTCAATACAAATTTCAAACATGTGAGTGCAAAGTAGTGCTTAATTCTCACTATTGGTTTCTCTGTTATCTCTATAACTCTGCTCTCCTCCACTTCACTAACAATAGAGATCTTTTGGCAAAATCAAGCAGTTATTTCAATCTTCCTTTTCAAGCAAGTTAGTGGCACTCAATAAAATAAGAGGAGAAACCCCCCCTAGTCTCTCACTTAATGCTTTTTTGCTGGAAGAGAAAGAACATCCCAACCCTTGGTTGCCTCTATCAAGTGCCTCTGTCCATGACTTATCCATTCTTCTTGGTCCATATATACTCTTCCACAAAACCAGCACTTAAACAGACATTGAAGTGTTTCAGCTGGTGAAGTTTCCACCACCTGGTAGTTGTTTTTATGGGTCTTTTTTAGTTTCATTTTTAGCATACTCTGCTTTTTTGCTTGGTTTCCTGTCTCAACATTCTGAAGAGTAAGACGTTTTCGATAACGTTTGACACCAAGACAACTACTTGTCCTTTCTGAAAGAACTACTTTCAGGACTTGACCTTTATACTTGTTGATAGTCTTCATGACATTAATTATCTCTGGCGAGTCCACATCAGGATGGTTTAGTACCACAACTGGCTGGTTACGACGAGGGCATTTTATCAACTGATTCATTCTCAGAGGGACAAGCCGAAGACGTCTTGCTGTCAACAGATATGACATGTCAGAACTTGAACTGGTTTCTGACTGAGTTCTTGTCTTCCTCTTAGGAAGTTCCCTGAAGCTTGCTTGTTTTGCCTTGTTTTTGGGACCTAGTTGACTTTTTGAATAGGGTTTGCTTTGCTTACCCACATCACTGCTTTTCTGAAACAGTACACCAGTTTGTTTGTTATTATTTTTAACACTTGCCTCTCGCTTTGGTCTTTGCCTGAGAGATATACTTCGGGACTCAACATTCAGTTCACTCTGATTAGGCAAACATGGCAAATTACTGCTAGGAGTCTCAGAAACACTGACAGGAACCGGGCGAGGCAGAAACATTTCATTGCAATACATAGGAGGATCTGATGTTTCACTCCTGTTTTCTACTCCCTTTGAGTTCTGACGGCTAGTAGCATTTAGCACTCGCAGCATCGTCCCTTTCGGGATAAACACAGGAGTAGCAACATGGGAATTTTTAGTTACCCTGCTTTTAGCTGTTCTTGCAAATGTAAGCACTTGATCTTTACTGTGTTCTTCACTACTAATAATACTGTTTCCACCATGCACTTGAGGGGAAGATGCAGACTGTTCCACTTCAGTGGCAGGAACAACTCTCTCACAGCTTGCTGAATTTTCTTGAGGGAAAAGCACCTTTTTACTAGAATCCTGACATCTCAAAGGCATGGATTTAATGTTAGATTCAGCAGCAGACATGAGCTGAGCAATCTTTCTACACAGCAGTGTTGCTGACTTCTTATTGCATGTTGTGTCGTCCCATCTGACACCCTCTGGAACGTTTTCAGCCCCAGAGCTCAGAGAAAATACAGATGAAATAACAGGTCCCTCAAAAGGATTGCCTTTGTTTTCCATCTTCTGTGGTTCTAACGATTCCAGAAGATGACTGTTCCTTTGACTTATGTTTTCAGCTCTCTTTACTTTGCTAAAGCCAAAAGTCACGTCCTTGCAAGGCAGAGTTTTAGTGACATGAAAGTTTTTCCCTGCTTCAGAAGATGTAACAGATTTTTTATCAAAATCCTTATCAGCTAAATGTGTTTCTGTAGAGCTGACTGGCAGAATCTTACATTCTTTGTCATCCCTCTTTAGAGGCAATGTATCCTTTTGTTTAAGTACTGCAGAAGAAGAATTTCTGCCCTCCTGAACAGCCTCTACTGAAATGTTCTTGGAAAATTTATCTTCGGAAATAGCAGCATATTTTGGAAGGGGTATATCCACACCTTCTTCATAACAATACAAGTCATAATGTAAGTTATTTTTTCCATCTACTTCCCACCTTGAAGATTTAGGATCACTTTTTTTTTCAGTACTATTCATCACCAGAGATGGAGAACAAAGTTCTATAACACCTGAATGGACATCAATACCTTTCACCAAATGAAAGCATAATTTTGATGCATCTTCCCTCTGTATAGATACAGAGTTACAGTCTGAGAGATGAGAATCAGAAAAACAAAGACATTCAGAATTCTTGTCATATGTACTATCCAAATTAAGCTGGTTACCAACACTGGATAATTTGTCTACATTCACTTCCATGGTCAGTAACTCACTTTGAGACACAGAAGATGTTTTTTTGACTCCTGCAGATCGCTCTGCACCTTGATTCTCAAGTTCCTCTTCAGCACCATTCACAGGTTTGGAAGCTGCTTCTGTCATAGGAATTAGTTTAAGAACCAGCTGTCGTGCTCCATTCACTATTTTAATCTCTACTATCTGAGCTAAACAATTAGAAGGAACTACAAGTTCAGACGGTGCAATTACTGTTAAAGGCATCCCAGGTTGTAAAGGCTCCGTTTTTGGAGAATAAACCTCAACTTCCACACTCTGATTCTCACAAACACTTATTTCAGATGTCTCCAATATTGTTTTATGCTGGACTGATGCTGTGTTTATGCTACGTTCTACATCACGAGATGAACAGACTGGTTTAGTTGCTTTATCTGGAAACTCACAAACCATATTTGAAGATGAATTTGAAAGTTTGTTCTGAAAAGGAATTTTATATTTCTGCTTTTCAAATAAAGTGCTTTGACTCAGCTTCTTTTGCTTGTGGTTTATGATAGTATTCGACAGCCGTTTTGTGGGTGTTTC